ACGACGAACAGAGATTTCCGCACAGCGAACAGAAGAACAGAATTATATCACTTTCAAAAAAATCGCGTATTCACTTCGACACAGATCCCACTATTTCTTTTATCCCACTTCTGAACTGTGGGGGTGGTGGTGTGGTGGTTAGCGTGGTTTCAGACAGACAGACAAATATATATATAAGATTTTATTGAATCGAAATAAAAGAAATGTTTATTATAATATAACAAAGACTTAAGTATTAAGGTTTAAGATAAAGACTGAAAGAAAAAGTAAGTAACCAGAGTTAGAAACCGTAACCACACTCGTATAACACTCACTCGTCACACCGAATCAAGAAGGGCCCGAGGACCGCCCTCTTCACCGCGCTTATATATGCATTCACCCCACCAATGGTCCCGATCACTTCCGTTAATCATTCTAGAAATCTCCAGACTATTCCCAATCGGTCAAACAAAAAGACTTCTTCCCGATTTCCGGCTTGGGAACATTCGAGAGATTTCGGGGTGTTTACAAACGATGACATCAGCCGATATCGTACGCTTTTCTTTCTTGCCATATGCACTCGTATCCATATCGCTACAAATCTTTCATCAACCACTTCCATGTACACCATACACTCGCACTCTTACATATATATAACTGAAGATGAAATGACTAAATACCAATTTTTCCTAAAAAAAATAGATGATTATTGTTTGAGAGATTAGAAAAAGTATGCTTTGTGTGATGTTATGTTAAAAAGTTAGTGATTCGGAAAATTATAGACACTTACGATTCCATTCTATTTTACTTTATCAAATTATATATAATAATTATATTATATATTATAATTGTATATAATTTCTTTTCTCTTTTCTTTAATTCTTAAGAATAGCTTATATTAATATTAAAAAAATAATAATAAATAATAAATAATAAAAATAACTCTTACAATATTTTGAATTATTGAAACTAAAATACATTTGTTTTAACATTTCTGGCCATTGATGACTTTGAGTTTGAAATTTTCAGCTAATAAAACATCAGATACGAACTAATATTCGCAATAAATAAAATTTAAGATTATAATTTTCTTATTTTAACGTTCTCTTAATGTTTATGTAATTGTTTAAACAAAAGTACATTTATTTTAACATTCTAATCTAATTATAACTTCAAGTTCGAAATGTTTTTATATTGAAGGTATATTAATAAATATGCAATGTTTACTATACGAAAGAGAAAGCTTTAATGGTCAATTGACGGAAGATAAAATAATACTGTTTCAATATATTTTGATAATCGGAAAAATATCGAACATTTGATCCTCATAACGTCGCTCGACAACTTCAAGCTTTTGATTAATCTGTAATAAGATATCAAATCAAAATTATGTTCTATATTTAAAGAATTATAAACATGTAATTATTATATATGAATTATTGTTATGTAATATTGTTATAATAATTATTTTAAGATTCTTTATAATAATTTTTATCTAATATTATATATGTATATATAAAAAAAAAGAAATAGAATAAAATTGTAAGTATCTATAATCGTGTAGATTAATAATTAATACTCGTGTTATAAGTTACTTTAAACGTCTTAATATTTAACAAAGATATTGTCGTAATTTTTTATACAAAACACCCCACATAACATAAAAACTTTCTAAAAATTTTCTAAAACATTTCTTAAAAAGCTTTAATCCTTTCAAAAAGGTTTCTAAAAAATCTTTCTACAAGGTGAAAATGTCCGCGTTTAGAAACTTGCAAAGGATTTTTAAAAAGGTTTTTGAAAGATTTTTTAAAACTCTTTCACTATATTTTGCGAAAGGTTTCTAGAAAACATTTTTGAAATTTTTTCAAAAAAAACAATTGAGCTTCCCCAGCCAGGGCTCACCGATCAATCCTTCTCACGAATGCCCAGGTAAGTTTGGCATGGAGGCGCTCGTCCCACAGAAGGTTTTTGGAAGATTTTCTGAAACCTTATCGTCATGTTTTGTTAAGGGCGGGGTAAGGGTTTTCACTTTCGAAAAATCGACTTTTTTTTTTGGTCTTATCTTATTGTTTAACATTTCAAGAATATGTCCTTAAAACTTTAATCCGATCTAAGCAATATTCTTGAAGTTATTGTCAAATTAGTCTCGGGGCCTTTCACGCTCTAACTCTAACAGCTACGGGCGTTCGGAATAGCAGTGCAGCTGTCGAACACTTTATTCATTGCTATTGTCCTAACCCATTATCTAGTTTTAGAAATATTTTATTTAGTAAAGGCAGGTAACTAAAGCCATAAAGATATATTTTATATTTGTATGTATACTATACACTACAATATTTTAAAGCAAGAAACGAGCGTCAGTTTGTCGTTGTACGTTCGACCGTGCGCTTGTCATTTTAGAATTTTCTCAAAAAATTTTCTGTTCAAAAATGCCGAAAGTAAGCAAAGTTTCGAGAGAAGACCGACAAAGTGGAAGGATTTATTTGTGTAGATCAAAAAAAAGGTTTAATCCGAATAAAATAATTAAAGATGAGGTTACCACAAAAAGTGCTTCATCAATTCATCAATTCTGGTACACTTGGTAGTGCAAGTGTACCAGAAGACGTTGAAAAGAGACTGAAGACATCGACAATGCTGCAGGAAGTGTGCTGTATGGAGCTGGAATCGATGATTCTGTGTAAGTTGGAAAAAAAAATTTTTTTCTTCACTTTTTGGCTTCATAAACTTTAAAGGCGTTTTTCTCAAAACTACTTTTTCAAAGACCGTGTTCACTGCCATTTAAAAACTACTCGACCGATTCATTTCAAACTTTGTACACATTTTTTACATATAAAATACCTCCCCCCTACGTTTAGTAAAATTTTCTTTTTTACATTAAGGGTGTTTCCCGCCTACAAAATAGCGGAAATTTTCGTGGAAAATTCTTCACACTTTAGATGGCCGCCAAAAATTTTTAAATTAAAAATAAATAATCAGAGAACGTAGGGGGGAAGATTTGATTATAATTTGACTAAATTTTCATGGTTTTTCATTTTCAGATAATTTCCAGCCGAGTTACAGTGAACACCGCAAATTGTTTTTTTTTTCAAGACGTTCTGCGGGAAGCTCTGTTACGGGCTAATGCTTCAATATTTCTGCATGAAAAATTTACAGAACATTGTCAAAACTATGCTCAATAATGTATAGAAGGTTTGAATAAAATTGCTCAATCCATATCTGAGAAAAAAAATCGCAAAAAAAGTGTTTTTTTTTTACGCTGAAACCCTTACCCCTCCCTTAAGGCCGGCGATACAAGTAAAATAAAAAAAAAATCGAATTTTTTTTTTTCATAAATAGTTAGTTTAATATCTCAAAAACATGCCCGTAAATTTTTAGAATGAAATTCGCATTACTTATGGATTAAAAATTCATTTAAGTGCTCCGCCTCAACTCGGCGCTAGACGCGAACGTTAAACTTTTAACGCGTTTTTCTCAAAACGACTTTTTTCAAACTGGCGTGCAAGATAACTCAAAAAGTTCTTAACCGATTCTTATGAAATTTAGCACACATTTTCTTTATAGTATTAGCTTCTAGTTGAATTTTAAGAATGCCACAAAAATTTTCAAAAATTGCCATTTTTGACCCAAAAACCGTCGGAAGAAAGGGTCAAAAATCGGACCTTTTTGTCTTAGTTGTGCCAATTTACGATTTTTTGACTTTTTTGTTTTTTCTTCATTCAACTAAAAGATACATGTTTTATGAAAACGCTCCAACCCGTTTTTTTATTCCTTTATTTTATATTATCTGTTATATTAAATAAATCATTAAAAATATGATTAAGCGCTTTTAATTATAAGAAATAAAATGTACTTAGTAGAAATAAAGATATTGTTTGTCTTTAAATTATAATTTTCGAATCAAATTTACTTAATTCCAGATCATTGAAGATTGATATGCTTCTGTATAACGATATCCAATTATCACTTTTCGAAACTGCGGTAGCCTTTTCGATGAAACTACAGGGATAGTGATATATCTATATATATCTATATATATCTATATATATATAAAGAAAGAGAGAGAGGGAGAGGAGATCGTTGAAGTCGCTGTAAGTTTCCTTTGACCGTTCCTGTGTAAATCATGAAGATACTAGGTAAGATTACTTGTTTCCTAATTTACACAGAGAACGTCAAAGGAAAGTTTACATTCTGCAGTAGAGTGGAGAACCATGACGGTGCTGCTGTTGCCCAAAGCACTCGCATTCATTAAAATGTCTTAGCTACGAATTAACCTTTAAGCGGGCAGCCAACCCCTCCTTCCCCCCTTTCCACTTCTTCTTCCTCATCCTCTTACTCCTACGACGACTCAAATGCAATTAAATTGTACGTTTCACCAAGAATAGTCCTCTTACCTTGTTGCTATTATAGATATTCCTCTTGTTACTTTATTATTTAATTGAAAACAAAATTATGTTATTCGCAATTTTTGTTTTAAGTTTTTCGTTTATACATTAAAAAATATTTTAATATACACATTTAGGATGATAAAGTATTTAATGTTAAACTATATTTGACGATAATTAGCAAGTTTCACAAGAAGAATCCATTTTAGAAGTCTTGAATAATACTATAAATAAACGTTCTTGAGAAATTTCTCGTTTATGGAGATTGGTAATCTTGAAAGATACGAAATAAGAGAAAAAGGGAGAGATAGATAAATATATAAAGAGAGGGAGAGAGAGGGAGAGAGAGGGAGAGAGAGAGAGGGAGAGAGACTAAATCGATTTTAAGACGACTGGACCAGTGATGCTGGCCGTTAAAGAGCTCGTTAAAATCGTCAGCTAATAATGAAGTCTTTTGGAAACGAGAAAACTAAATTTGCCTTTATCGACTATTCTAATGTGTCCTTTCTTCTTAACAGGTAAAAAGATCTTACCTTTCTCTCTTCGTTTGCAATAGAAAACAGGGAAATAAACTGCGATAATGAGAAAATAGCGTGTAAGTTGCCGTATTTTCTTTTACTTGATGTTTCTTCAATTCAACGTCAACGTTCTCTTCGCGATGTTCTTAATGATTCAACCTAATCAATAGTATTGCGAGAAGCTGCTAATTTTCTAGGTAACCCCTATTCATATCTATTATATTATAATTTTCACACAATAGCAAATAATGGTATAAATTCGAAGAATTATATCGAATGATAGTTATCTATACAAAGGTATTAATGAAAACAGCAAAAGATTAATCAGAATGTAAGAATTCTGATTTATTAGTTCGTATTCTCGTTTAACTTCAATGTTTTACAGTAATCACGAATTAATCATAAGTTTTCGCGTTTAAGTTAAAACTCTTAATCTTAACCATAATATAATATATAAATCGATTTTGTGTTATGTTATCTTTTATAGGAAGATGTTAAAATGAAAGAACACGATCGGGTATACGATAATTCTGAAATTACCAGGCATTCTCTATCGATCTTTCTTCCCGATGTTTACAAGGCAAACTGGAAAGTATGCTCGACCGAGAATTAACATCGCCGTAAACTGTTACCATCGTATAAAATTCCAAGTTATACTAATACGAATGCACGAACGTTATGGACTCTTCAAACATTACCAGCAATGATATCGGGAAACCTTATTAATACGATCAACACAACGTGAACTTTGCTTTCGTGTTCAAGATAAATCCACTTTGTACATATTAATTGATATCGTCACGCAGAACACACATATACAGAGGATGATTTTATTATTTTTTTCTAGACTCATCTGACCTGCGATTACAATTTAGCGTGACGCAACGATTCGAAAGGGACGATCCGTGAAAACGGTCTACGGTGTTCATCAAAAAATGGGTCTACCTTTACGATTAACCCGTGTTACTTCTGGTAGGGAAGAAAAAATAGACACCTTGATAGATCGTCCTGAGATTTAGAATTATTCCTATTTGTACGATGATTGGAAGTTTTTCATTATTGAACTAATCTTTTTTTTCTTTTTATTATGTTTCAAAAATGGTAATAAAATTAAATAATATTTCAAGTTAATTGATGTATCCAACGAGTAGATTATCCATTACGATAAAATTCTACTTAAATTTTCATAATTTGGTTTATCAAATATGTTTTGCCAACGATCGAACATCGTTTCTTTTTTCTTCTCTAATTTGTACGATTGATGTTAAAAAAACTTATGATAGGAAAATAATATAAATCTCTAATCCTTAGTGAAGGATAATCCAATGAAATTTCATTGTCCCTTTTCTGCGGCGAGATAAAAGGTTGAGAGGTATCGAAACATACACGTCCATTATAGTAGTTCGTCGACTATAATCAGCCAATCTTTCTCGATCTCGTCTCGCGGACTATTACGTCTCTGCAGAGTATCAAGGGGGGAATGTACTCGTACTAACCAACCATAAACGTACCGACGAGAGTACACCTACTGCAAAAGAAATTGACTTTTCTCGATCATCCACTTTGACTATAAGGAATTCGTACTATGATCAACGATCCAATTCGAATTGCTTTTATTTGTGACATAATTTCTTTGGTACTTCAAACAAAAAAGATGTTGTGTTAAAGCGGCACCTTAATAGAATCCATTGGTTACGATGATAAGATTGTTTTTCTATTCTCTTTTCTATCATCGTGATTTTTCGATCAATAATATTACAGTTCGAACATTTTTTTTTATATTTCCAAGAAAAAAATATACATTAAACGGAAAAAAAGATTTAACATAATAATGAAATATTTAATTTAATTTTCATTTTTAGCGTAAACATTTCAAAAATGAATATATTTACGAAACTAAACTATAAATAATTATGTATGAAACAAATTTTGAAGGATTAATATATACAGTTCAGAAAGAAAGATTCAGTATAGAGAAACGATTCGCTGTTTGCGATTGTATGTATGTCGAGTTTTCCGCATCCTCTCAGAATGGCCGACAGTACGAGAATAAGATGCAAAAAGGCGACTTCCGTGCGATATATTATAACTGGTTTTGCAGTAGACAGCGTTCTCTTCGTTTACCAAGCTAGAGAGTTTACGTAAAAGAGAGATCTTACCTTCTTCAGTTCTACTAAAATTCTATCGATAAAGAACACGTTTCTTCGTAGCGAACATGATAAGCTATAATTAATTATTATGTCTATCTCGAATGAAACATATATTAATTGTAACATTGTAATAATTTTAGTTAGATTAATAAATACGGAAAAATACGATCTAATTAAAGCGAACATTATATCTTCATTTTGATCAATTTATTTATCTCCTTAAATATTTTCCATTCAAAATTGATAAACTAAAATGTAAACTTTAAACTTTTAAATTGTGACATGCTAAACAAATGTACTTATTGTTTAACTTTTGACTATTCTTTGAAAGAAAAATAGAAATCACCGAGATAGATTGAAAAGAAGATCGTAACGTTTACTGCTAAGGGCAAAAATATACGAGAACTCTGAGAAAGTAGCATGCTCCGAGGAAAAAAAAAAGCAAAAACAGAGATAGGTAGAGAGACAGAGAAAGAGAGAAAGAGAGAAAGAGAGAGAGAGAAGTCGAAGACGTAACAACAAGGGAAAAGAAGAAATCGAAGAATTCACTGGTGGGCTTCGTTGAAAAGTTTCCTCGAGTAGTTCGCCTTCTTGTTAAGACAAGCGGAGTTATACGTCGAAAGTGCATTCCATCGGACACCTGGAACGGACGTTCTCATTAAAAGGCTTCGGTTCTCAATGATCTACGTCCAATAAAATCATATCAAAGTAAATAAACATTTATAGATATATGTTTCTCTATCTATATCYCACTCTCTTTCTTTCTTTCTTTCCTTTTATCTTTTCAAATAAAACATGAGCATGTTTTCTTGGACGAAGGATTATTTGTTCTCAAATTCATGCTTCTTTTTATACAATATGGCGTTGGAGGGACTTAGAACTAAAGAAAAAGTAAGTAGATGAAAAGTGCTAGTCATCCTTCAAAACATACACACATAGACAGTTACACAAACAACCATACGCTTAAATCGAGTTTCTATCGTTCCCTCTCTCTCTCTCTCTCTCTCTCTCTCTCTTTCTCTCGCTCCATCCATCCATCCATCCATCCATCCATCCATCCATCCATCCATCCATCCATCCATCCATCCATCCATCCATCCATCCATCCATCCATCCATCCAATTATCTATTTTTCTTTCTTTTTCGTCTCTCTGTTTTATTTTTTTTAAAGTATTTCTTTTTAACTAGCAAAAATTTGTTCTCGAAGGTTGATAGACACTGGCGAGTAAGCGTGGCCCCGGATTCCAGGACCGGTCTCTCGAGTTTCTCCAGAGAAGGAGTCGCTATGCTTCCTCCCCTCCCTACCCATTTAAACTTCCCTTCGTCCTTTCGAGTTAAGCGCCGCTCGCCAAGCCTGCTACCTTCTAAGAGCGTAGCCACACGACAGGTGCCAGCGGCGTACGCAACCGAAATAATGACCGTCTTATATTTATTGATGCTTCGAAGGAACCTCTTAAAGGATTCGAGGAGGGTGTATCCCTTTAGACATGGGAGGAATAGAAAGGATGAACAGTTCTTCTGTTAGGTTAGGTAAAGTGATCCCCCCTTTTGAAAAAAGGAACAACGAATATTGTTCCTGATCATCCTCTCATGAAGCAATTTAATACAAGATGCTACAAGAGTCACACCTTGGTGACTCTTAGATTAAACCTTGAGAGAATGGCTCGTCGACTCGTTCTTATAATTTGTCTAGGGTAACCCTAATTAACTTAATATTCGACTGGAAGTGGAGAAAAAGAGAAAGAGATAGAAATGACTATAAAGAAAGATGAATTGTATAACGTGACTAGTCTTAAGATGCTTAATTAGAAAATATAGTAGGTATTAAACAAGACTTATTGAAGATCATTATGTAACTAGTGGATTAATTTCTTTTACGAATAATAAATCTTCTAATTATACATACGTGTAATAACATTTGTACAAATTTTTTACTGAAATGATGCAAGTAAAAATTGAATAAATCTGAATATTAAACGATTAACCTTATATTTTTGAAAATACCATATATGTTTAGAAGACATCTATGTATATATATATATACATCCTTATACATATATAAAAATTCAGTGTCACATTGTTGGTTTCTTATAGACTCCGAAACTACTGAACCGATCTTAATGAAATTTTTTTTATTTTGGGTGACATCTTCCAACTTAAAATGTAGGATAATTTTTATCGCGATTATTTTTTATTTTTTATCGCTAATTTAAGGATTTATTATTTAGAGATTATCTAAGTTTCGAGGTTCTATATGTTTTCAATAGATGACGCTGTATTACAATTCAATTATTTCAATTTAATCATGTCACATGTAGTTTTCATATTTACATATGACAACTATCCTTGCTTTTTATATTTTTTCGAGTATTATTATTTTATTTATTTCATTCTAATTGTGGTATTATTTTGTGTGTTATAATTTACTAAATAGTTTAGATTTATATTAAATAAACGTTTTATAACAAAGCCACAGCAATGTGCGGCCGGAGCACATCATCCTAGTGTAATATATATATATATATAAGAAATCTTAAAAAAGTTAAGCGTAGATTTTATTTTTTTATCTACAGAAAGATAAAAGTTTTCATAAAAACATAGTAAAATCAAGGATATGTACTTAACTAGCATGTTGGCACAGGCACGTATAACGGTATTTCGCACTCTCGTATTTATACAAGGTTTCTTATATACTCGATGGTTTTTGTTGCGATCCCTCCTCCTTTCTCTCTGGATTATCTTTATTCATGTGTGTATGTGTGAGTATGAGTACATATATGTAAGTGTAATTTTCTCTGCATATTGGCTGTACTCCACGATAACAGTAGCTTGTCCAGTCTCGATCGTTTTAAAGCGGTTTCAAGCATGCGTTCTTTCGTTCGTTCGTTCCTATGCGTAGCTAGTAAGCTCTTTATGTTAAAACCATATAGTTAAATTCACCTGATATTCGGCGACCATGCGATAAGCTATACTTGCTGCGATTAGCGAACGACGTAACTTTAATGATGTCTGTTTTTAGAATTTTTCGGGTGTATACATTTGTATACGGCCTTATTCCTTCTCTTTTTTTTTCTTTAATATTATATCGAAATATTTAAAAAGTGTACCAGGTATTTACATTTATTTGATAGTGTTTGTTTTCTATCTTAAAGTACAAACTCAAATAACATTAATTATTGTAATGATTTTAAAACGCTATTTTAATTCATCAATGTCACTTGACCCTACAGTTTGACGCTCAGATTTGACGCTGCTTCTTATGTAGATGGCACTTCAATCGATATTATATAATGTGGTCAAATTTGACGCTCAAAGCTAGCGTCAAGCGTCAGCATGAAATCGCACCTTAAGATTGCATCAAAAATTTATAAATACTTACACGGAACAAATGAAAGTAATACTTATATATACTATACTATATATATATATATATAATAAAAACATAGTGTGTCCAATACATATAAGGGGGTTGAAAAGTTCCGAGTCTAGCATGTGGAGAGATGCAATAGAATTATATCAGCCTGACAAGGCAACATACGAAATAACAATTACATACATGAAACACATAAAAGTATTTCATATATAAGATGAGTAGTTTTCCTAACTATAGGATGCCTGAAAAGTTCTGAGTGTATTCTTTCTTATCGTCAAATGTATCAAATATACAAATATAAAAGAACTTGCCAGATTTTAAAAAGGATCTAGTCAGTATTTTTTGGCATTTAAATGAGCAAACATCTTAGCTATCTTCTATCATACTGATAAGCTTTAATAATTCACATTTTTCATTAGTATACTAATTATATATTGTGTTGTTTTTTTAATCTTTATAAAACATATATATTACAATATTTTATATTAATTATTTCGTCATCAAACTGTCTCTGAATATCTTTTGAACGCTTAATTTAATCGCCAAAACATAAGACACCATTTTTATAGAGCAGTTAATTTCCTACAAAATTCTTCCAGAACATTTTTCTGTAAAATCAATTAATGATGAGGTATGAAATTTA